TAAGATTTAGTTTCTTTCTCTTTTTTGTTTACATTTCTGTTCTGCCAGTGGGTTTTGTTCTTTCTCGTGTACGTATACATGGTAGCGATTAGCGTTTTTTGGATTTGCAGGACTTCCTTGAGGATTTCTTGTAGGGCTGGTTGTGTGGTGGTGAATTCCCAGTTTTTGTTTGTCTGGGAAATACACTATTTTCCCCTCGTTTCTGAAGGATAGCCTTGCTGGTATATTCTTGGCTGGCAGTTTTTTTCTTTTAGTATTTTGAATATATCATCTCATTTTCTTCTTATCTGTAAGAGTTTCTGTTGAGAAGTCTGTTAGTCTGATAGGGCTGCCCTATCAGACTTGACACTTTTCTTTTTCTTCTTTTAAGATTCTCTCTGTCTTTGAGCTTTGCCAGTTTAACTGTAATGTGTCTTGGAGAGGATCTTTTTGGGTTGAATCTGTTTGGGGATCTTTGAGCCTCCTGAATCTGAATGTCCATGTCTCTCCCTGTACCTGGGAAGTTTTCTGTTATTTCCTTGAATAGGTTTTCATGACTTTTCCTTTCTCCTCCCCTCCTGAAACACACCCATGATTCGAATGATTGTGTGCTTAATCTGATAGCTCTCATAGGTTTTCTTCATTTTTTAATATTTGTTAATATTCTTTTTTTTTTTGGTTTGCCTGGGTTATTTCAAAAAGGCTATCTTCAAGATCAGAAATTCTTTCTTCTCCTTGTTCTAGCTTGCTGCTTCAGCTATTGGTTGTGTTTTTATTTTGTCGAGTGAATCTTTCAGTTCCATGAGTTCTGCTACATTCTTTCTTAAGGTATTAATCTCTGTAGATTTCTTCCTTCATGTCTTGGATTTTTTTTCTCTCTCACTTCATTATTTTGTCTGAGTCTTCTCATATCTCAGTGAATTTCCTTAAGATTGTTGCTTGGAATTACTTTTCAGTCATTTCAAGGATTTCCTGCTCTGTAGGGTCTGGTATTTGAGAATTACTGTATTCTTTTGGTGGTGTCATATTTTCTTGGGTTTTCTTATTTCTAGCATATCTATGCTGATGTCTGATCATCTGGTAGGGCAGTTGACTCTTCTGTTACTCAGCAGTGGGCTTTGAGGACAGGGACGTCTTTTTCCAGTTTCCGCTGGAGACTCTCCTTGTGGTCATATTTTCTTGGGTTTTCTTATTTCTAGCATATCTATGCTGATGTCTGATCATCTGGTAAGGCAGTTGACTCTTCTGTTACTCAGCAGTGGGCTTTGAGGACAGGGACGTCTTTTTCCAGTTTCCGCTGGAGACTCTCCTTGTGTCAGTGCAGTTGAGTTTCTGGCAGGCAGGCTGCATGATGTTTTGTGGCCACTGCTGTGGCATTGAGCTGCTTTTGTAGCAGCCGTGGCTGTAGCGGTGGCTGTGTTGGGCCATCTGCACAGAAGTGGTGTTTTCAGTGTGCTCTCTTGCCTGCTTCTGGATGGAGGGGGGCTGCTCTTGGCTCTTGTCTAGGACACCAGGCATTGCTCTCTTGCCTTCTTCTGGATAGAGGGGGCTGTCCTCGGCTCCTACCTAGGACTTTAATGTTGCTCTTTTGTAAAATGGTAATTTAATTAAACCTTAACTTTAAGTAACTTAGAGTTGGCACTTAGGGTAGTGCTTTTGCCATATGAACTTGGTTAAATTAAAATAGTAAGTGATAAGTAAATTGAGCTATTTTATATTTCTAGGTTTTTTATTAGGCTTGATGTATTTCGTTTTGGCAATGTAGCTTATCTCATTTAAACTATGTAAAGACAAGTTTAATTTTTATTTTTAAGTACTTCAGTTTTGGCATTTTTTTCTTTTTCTTTTATTTTGGCAGCTGACTGGTATGGGGATCTGAACCATTGACCTTGGTGTTACAAGGCTGTGCTCTAACCAATTGAGCTAACTGGCCAGTCCTTCTTTTTCTTTTTAGAATTTCTTTATACTAGATTATTCCCAATGACTTTATTGTTAATTACTATACTTATTGAGATGTGGGATTTTAAGTTCTCCTTTTTTAATGGTCAGAAACTTTTTCTTCAAGAATCTTTACAGAACTTGCAAATCATATTTTTCTTTTTGGCTTAGATGCAGACATAGGTGAGGTGTACTGTTATTGTTGAGATACATATATACATGCATTAAAGTTACAGACACTTATCTGTGCACTTATAAACTTTGAGGAACATTTTGTTTACCATTTTTGGGAAACAGATTATGTTTAATTAGAAGTAGTTATCCCTTGGATATTAATATTATAAGATAAAAGCTGAATTTTTCGGGACTCATGATAAGTACTTCTCCACACAGCTCTTATTTTGAATTCAAGAGTAAAATATATGAGGTTGTCTATTTTTTGAGGACTAAGTGATGTATAATTTTGTAAACTTATTTTAAAAATATGTGAATACTAATAGGATACTAAGATTTAATAGCAAACTGTGAAAATGGCATGTGAATGACAGAAGTTTGGGAAATACTATCTTTTTTCTAATTTTTATTGAAACATAATTGATTATACTATTTGTGGGGTACAGAGTTGAATATCAATACCGAGATAGAATATGTGATGATCAAGGGAAATATTATCGTACTCATTTTTGTGCTTTATAAAATATATTGACTGTGTCCTTGCTTTCTTTTTTTTGTGGCTTGCTGGTTGTCTTTGTGGATTACTATGTGATTCTGTAATAAAGCAGTGCCATCAGGAGCTTCTGAAGTGCATACCACATTTTCTGCATAGTGTGTGCCCTCGAGGTTGCTCTTCTTCAGTTGGTGTCTGGTTTTTCCCATTTTTTAGTGTGTCCCCTTGAAGCATTTACTCTCTTTGCACAAATATTGTTATTCCTTAATTGCTCAGAGGAAGTCTGAGAGCCAAGATTATTTAATTTGCTTTAATTTAGTGCTTTTGGTGAATATTTTGCCCCTTCACTCTTTAGGTGTTGTAACAGTTTAAGTTTATCATTTTGTTCTCAGGTTGCTGGCAATCTCATTCTTTTATGATGTGTAGTCACATTTCTAAAAAGTGCAGAATAATAATATGAGGCCTTCAGTTTTAACTCAGTTACATGATCAAGCTATAGAATATTTTATACTACATAAAATCTCTTAAATAGTTGATGGTCTGTCAGACCAATGAAGAAGTAAAATGATTGTGGGACCCAAAACTTTGAGATCTTATAACTTGCACAAGTATAATTAAACTGGACAAAGGTATATATTTTACTAAATATAAGTTCTGAGTGATTGAATTGAAGCTCCTATTTTATGAATAACTCTAGCAGCCTCAATATAACTAAAGCAACCTTTGGGATGCTGTTATGTAGGTGTTGATCTGCAAATTTTTTTAGAATTTGTTTTGTTTATTCAGGATATTTTATCTTTCCTTATTTGCCCATTATAATAAACCAGATGGGTTATTCCTATTTTTTCATACCAGATTCTAACTTAGAGGAAAGAAAGCCTGGTTGTTTTTGAGGAGTTAGACGATTGAATTTTCTGGTTCATTCATCAGGATACAGTTGAGATTTGGCTTTCAGGTGTAAAATGTATCTTTAAGCCGTTTTATAGCAAGTGGGAAGCATATGTGTTACTTTAAAGGTATTTTAATTTTTAAAAAAGCATCTGTTTTCATGTGCACCTACACACAAGTATGTAACAACTCTACCCAGCCAACTCATGGTCACTCACATACAACTTAGTAAAAGCATTCTCTAGATCAGGATTTATAATCTGAAGTCCCTGAGATTGTATACAGATATGCATTTTTCCCAGGGTAAAGGGGTGTAGATTTGATTAGATTATTTTGGGGGGGGGGGAGCAGCTGGTTGGTAAGGGGATCCAAACCTGTGCCCTTGGTGTTACCAGCACGTTTTGCTTAAATTTAATTCGGATGTCTGCATGAGCATACTATAAATGAGATTAGGTTAATTTGCCTGGGTTTTAATTAACAGATCACTGAAATGAGAGAATGAGAGGACGTGGTGAAGTTTGCAGTCAGGCCTGGGAGCTAGAGCTCAAATCTCAGTCTTATGTAACTTGTGATCTTTTTTTTTTAAATTTTATTTTGTCGATATACATTGTGGTTGATTATTGTAGCCCCTTACCAAAACCTCCCTCCCTCCTCCCTCTCTTTCCTCCCACCCAACAATGTCCTTTCTGTTTGCTTGTCGTATCAACTTCAAGTAATTGTAGTTGTTACATCTTCTTCCCTCCCCCGGTTGTTTTTTTTTGTGTGTGTGTGTGTGAATTTATTAATTTTTAGCTCCCACCAATAAGTGAGAACATGTGGTATTTCTCTTTCTGTGCCTGACTCGTTTCACTTAATATAATTCTCTCAAGGTCCATCCATGTTGTTGCAAATGGCAGTATTTCATTCGTTTTTATAGCTGAGTAGTATTCCATTGTGTAGATGTACCACATTTTCCATATCTACTCATCCGATGATGGACATTTGCAGCCCTTAGATTCTTAATAAGAGTTATAATCCTTACCCTCTTCTTCCCCCAGAAAAGTTAAGGGATATAATTATGTTTAGGAATCTACACACTGAATTTTAAAAAATTACGTTAGCATCATTGGTCTTGTTTAAGTTTGTTATATATAATTATGCTAAAATCACATACCTTTTAAGTACTTTAGCTCTTAGAAATGGTATTACAATGAAACACTGATAAGTAGCAAAAAATCATTTTTTCTTAAACTGACTTTTTAAAAAGTTGCTGACATCTTTAATTTGGCTGAGTATCCAACATGGTGCCTGACACATAGCGGTTGTAGCAGTCAGTTTAACGAGTCTGTTAAGGTAATCATAATCAGGTGTGTGTGTGCAGGTTGCAGCATCAAGTATTCCATGATATGAGCTGCACTGTATTTTGCAAAGTTTTGGGATATCCTCTAGAGAACAGAGCAGTTTGTTGTGCTTGCCATATTTGGAAAGGCAGAACAGGACAGAGATAATTATTTTGGGGAAAAAGGATCTGATTAGCAGACAGAATATTGAGAGAAACTATAGTTAAAGCTCTGGGTTTGGTGGACAGTTCAGAAAAAACAGGGCAAAATTGAGAAACATCCTACCCTTAGCAGAAAGGAAATCTTAGCACCACTCCTGTTAACTTGCAACCTCTCTAGTAATGCTTTTCACTGGCTCCTGTATTTTACTGTCGCCTTAGGTCAAATCGGGTGGGTGAGTGGGATTACAGGTAAATAAGGACTGAAGATGTCAAAGTACTTGTTTTCATAAATGAGCAAATTGATGAGTTTAAAAATATTTTCAAATCATTGAAAACTAATGAATGTACTTTTTGCTAATTTGTAAAGATATTTCTAAGCATCCCCGATCTCAGCTTAGAGTTTTGTTGAATAGAAGCTATGTTGTCTCTTAAGTTCTGGGAAGCAGAAATCTGGCTGACATTAGGTTTTGACATAAATGGAATCTTTTGCCAATTGGTCTGCAAGAATGCCTTTCTTAATATAATATTGGTCATTTTTTTGTGTGTGGGTCTGCCTTGTCTTCCTTAACTACACTGTAAAGTTTTTGAAGGAATTGAGAACTTCTTTTAAAGCTTTTTAAAAACATTTGCACTGGGACATAGAATAAGACTACTCTGACTCTGTGCTTTGAGCCATTGTTCAGGTCAGGGGCTACATTTATAAATACGTGTTTAAAAATCACTCTGTCACTTTTGTAATACTTGCAATAGATATTTTCTTAATACTGCTGGCAGTTAGGAAAAAAATATGATCTCAGCATAATGAAAATGACCTTTTCCACGATGGAGTTTTACAGGTGGTGCTTATTTGTTTCTTTGAGAATGTGGTGCCATTGTTTTGTTGTGAGCTACCATTATGATTTAAATTTATATTTAAAAATGTTGTTAATCATTATTTAAATATAAATTTGCTTATTGAAGACATCTTGGAAAATATATGAGAGTATAAGGAAAACAGTTAAAATCACCTGTAATCCTCCCTGCCTTCTCAGAAAATGTAGTGGCTTCTAAAGTTTTATCTGGCTTGAACTGGCTAAACTAGAGAACCCATGGGCCAACCAGGAAATTTGTATCAAGGCACAATAGTTAGCATTTTCTGTTAATAACATAATTCCTTGCTCTCCCCCTGCCCCCCCCCCCTTATTTATTTATTTTTTGGCTGATTTCAGCGAGACTTTTCTTGATTCCCTTAATTACTACCTTTTAAGGAATGAGTTTGGTGGTCATGGAGTTGTCTGTATTTGTATGAGTACTTAATTTTTCAGGTATGGCTTTCTAATTTTGCACCTTTGTTCTTTTGATGCTAGTTTAACTGATGAAGAGTCCCGGAAAAATTGGGAAGAATTTGGAAATCCAGATGGGCCTCAAGGTGTGGTAAATGATGATTAAAAAATATTGGTGCTGTGGTATGTATTTTGACAGTGTTAACTAGATTAGGAAAATTACAATCACAGGGAGTTAAACATAGGTAAATTAAGCTCTTGTTAATTAACTTTTACTTTATTTTTCTTTTCTAAAGAGTAGTTTGAAAGATAGAGCTTATTAGATTGATTCAGAGAGAATAGTAATAATCACTATCACTAATCATTTCCAGTTAGTAGTTGATAAAAATTTGGTGAAAGAAAATCTATTTTTCTTTACTTGACTTCACACATTTTCTCATATGTTCGTAGTGTTTATAAACTCAGGACATACAGGATGTATATATCTCGTAAAATAATTTAGGTTTTCTCAGAAGAAGGAATTTGAGTACTTAGATGGTTTTTTTTTTTTCCTTTTTGAGAAATTTGAAGTTCCTTAACTTTTGTGGAATGGGAGTCCACAAAATAGGTTATCTTAAAGTTTTTTGGGGGGAGGGATGCAAAATTTTGGGATATAAATAAATTGGAAATAAAGACTGTTCAGAAACTGTGATGTTCTTCCTTTTTTAGCTACAAGCTTTGGAATTGCCCTGCCAGCTTGGATAGTTGACCAGAAAAATTCAATTTTGGTGAGTACATTTAAATAAGGCACATTATGATGTATTTGACATAATTTTTGTTATATACTGTGTATCTTGGCACTAGTAGAGAGCTGTTAGAAAGAACATACTTGTATGCTATTTTTAATTTATGTATTGTGAAAACTTTTTACATAATGGAGAAAATAATTGTTTCCATTGTTGGGCTGTTGGTTTGGGGCAGTGTGTTCCAATTGTAGTTTTAAAACCTTAAAGTTGGGGTGACTTTTTTTCTTTTGTAAGTAGTTTCAGATTGGGTATTACTTTTGATTTGGGGAACTACTGGTTTTTATGGTTATCTGCATTTATCCTAAGGAGTACTCAAACACTTAAATTATCCTTCCTTTCACCTTAACCTAGGCTAAACCAATTTTAATGTGTGATAAATTAAATAGTATGCATTCTCTATGGCACTTCAGCAGGCAGTAGGATATTAGACTTCAATCATTGGTAGGTGCTGCAACCCTAAAACATCAGGAATTATATTAATCTATTGTTTGGGAGTAGGTGATTCTCATTTTAACATTCTTGAAAGTAATTGTCTAGGAGCTATCTTTGAAGCAATAAAAACAAAATCCACACAGTTTGACTGTAATTTGTTTTGAAAATGGCTATTAAGTATTATTTTATGGTAGATTAAAATTGGTTATCTTCAGGGGTATATAAATGTGTTTATCATGCTTAGGGTTACTAAGATAGAGAAGGGATTGTTAGCTACCAGATTTAGGATCAAGCAGTGGGAGAAAAATCAATAGAAATCACTAGCAAACAACATCATGAAGTGGCCCCTTGATATTTAAGCAAAGGAACTAGGCAGGGGAATTCCCATGAGAGATTGCCCCAAACCATCCAGAGAAGGGCTAGTTGGGATTCCAAAGAAAGAAGTACTAAATGCCAGGGTGTTCGGTCCAAAGCATTTATTTGGAGTACAAGTGCTGCAGTGTATCCTTGAAATAGACAGTGAGAGAGAAGGGATGTTCTACCTAGGTTTGTCTGCAGCAAGTATATTGGGGTATGGAGTTTATATGAGAGTTTAAGGAATTCAGTTTGGGGTCGAGGCCGGTTTCTTTCAGTACTTTGGGCAACAAGCTAGATATTTTTATCAGTGCCTGAGAATGTTCAATGCCTGGGTTTTGTTTAAAGCCTGCTGGGAGGAACCTGCAGCTGGCTAGATAACAGAGGAATCAACACACTCTGATTTTTAGTCACAACACAGAAAGAAAGCAGGGGGCACTAGGGAACCCTACAGGCTTCTTATATCATTTTTTTCCAAGGCACTAACTACTTGCAAGGTGTGGTCATATAAGTTCCTGACTAGAAGAGAAACATTTATAAACTGTTTTGCTGGCGTTACCTATATTGTATCAGTAAATAGCAAATTAAAAGGTAATTTATTATAGTGGATACGAGTGTAGTCTCTAGAGCTGACCTGCCTGGATTCAAATCCTGGCTCCAACACTTATTAGGTAATCTAGGACAAACTATGTAACCTATACATGCTATAGATTGCCTGTCTACAAAAGAAAAATAATAATGATATCTTCCTTCTGGAGTTTGAGAATAAGGATTAAACAACATAATACATGAGAGTTGCTAATAGTGCCTCCCCATTGTAAGCCTCAAAATAAATGTTCCTGGATGTTATAATTTACCTAATGAAGGCCATAATTCTTTTTCTTTTAAATTCTAGGTTTTACTTGTGTATGGGTTGGCATTTATGGTTATCCTTCCAGTTGTTGTGGTAAGTTCCATATCTTTTTATTGACTTTTTTTTGGAAAGGGAATTGACATGTTTTGGAATCTCCCTATAAGGTTTTTCTTTTTGTTTTGTTTTGTTTTTTGGCAACTGGCTGGTACAGGGATCGAACCCTGGACCTTGGTGTTATCAGCACCATGCTCACCATGCCAGCCCACCTATAAGATTTTAATTTATATTAGAATATAATCCATTGATCCTTGAATTTAAGAGTCTTATATTCAGGCATACTTTTTAAGGTCTACCAAAGGTGCCATCACTTGAGCATGTTAAAGTATATCTCCTCCCAATCCAAAAGTTACACACAGGTGAGGTAATACAGATATATTTAGAGTTTAAAATGAAAGTCTTCCTGCACCACCTCCCTCAACTCCATTTCTCTTGGAGAGAGTCACTGCTGAGTGGTGTTTTCTCTTTCAAATCTTTTTCTGTGCATTTATGTGTACATACACACATACTGTTTTTTAAAACCTCAGTGTGATTTTACTGTATGTATTCTGTGACTTTTTTTGCTTAATATTAATATTAGGTACACAACATACAGAGCAACCTCATTTTTATTTATTTATTTATTTTTAATTTTTTTATTTTTTTAAAGATGACTGGTAAGAGGATCTCAGTCCTTGGCTTGGTGTTTTCAGCACCACGCTCCGCCAGTGAGCCAACCAGCCATCCCTATATAGGATCTGAACCCGTGGCCTTGGTGTTATCAGCATCACACTCTCCAAGGGCTGGCCCCATGAGCAATCTCATTTTTAAAAACAGCTGTATAGCACCATAATATGAAGATACCATAAAGTTTATGATTTTTACCATTTATTATTTTTGTGACTTGGATTTTTTTTATCCTGGAGTTTCTCTCAATTCCCCTAGTGAGGCTTATAATTAACCTGTTTTACCTTCTTCATAGTATTGTTGTGTGAGGATCTAATCATATGAAATAATGTGAATGAAAGTATCATGTCAGCTGTAAAATTGCTTCTGTATTTATTTATTAAATATTTATTAAAGACATGCTGTGTGTCAGGAACCAACTTGCTGCTTATAGCAATGGGTGGTTTTATTCCAATTTTGTCTTAAATAATTTTTACATGAAATTTAAATGTTTTAATCCTATATATGTAATGACTTAAGTTGGTATTTATGATCCAGGAAATATAAATATTTGCTAAATAAAGCATTTGAAATATGTAACAGAGGCATTTGTTCTAAAGCTTAGATATTTTTATTGGTTTGCAAATATATGGAAAATTTGACCATAAACATATTCTGCATCAAACTGAACATTTATTGCTTTATTTCTTGTTTAATTTTATTTGTGTTTTAGGGCTCTTGGTGGTATCGCTCAATACGCTATAGTGGAGACCAGATTCTAATACGCACAACGCAGATATATACATATTTTGTTTATAAAACCCGAAATATGGATATGAAACGTAAGTGAAATTAAGTAACTGTGATATTAGCCACATTACTTTCTGAGTCATTTATGTGGAGCTGGTATATATGTTCTTTAACTCTGTACTGAAGAAATTCCTTTTTTTTTTTTTTTTTTTTTTTTTTTTTTTTCCTTTCCCGCAATGGATCCCAACCCT